CTCCCTCCCTTCCCTCCCTCCCTTCCCTCCCTTCCCTTCCTCCCTCTTAGACACTTCATCTGAATTTCTTGCCTTCAGGTTTCTTGGCCCCTTACAACCATGATACATTTGCAGATCCTTCTGGTGGGTGGGAACTACAGTCATCTTCTTCCCACTAGTCACTGACCAAGCAGTTGCTTATATCTGTATCATCTGCATCAGCAGCATCAAGCCCATTTCTGCCAAAATAAATGAACTATAGCAGTCATTGTTAGTTCTGTTAAATTAGATTTATTATAATAAAGTAACATGAGCCAAGTGTAAAGGAACATTAGGTAGTGAGCCCAAGCAATAAATGCTTTAGAAATTGTGAGGAGGGTTTTGTGCAATTGTACCACTTCTGCTTCTGTCCTGGGAAACAATGTTCTCTACTGTCCCCGATTCCCAGTATATCTGAACACTTTTATGAGGACTGAGGCTCTAATAGGTCAGAATTACTTCGAAAATGGTGCTTGAGCTCCTGTGTGATTTAGACAGTTTTAAAACTTCTCCCCCATCACATTTCTCTCTAGAAGATGAGCTGCTTTACTCCAGCTCTACCAGGCAGCTTTTCTCTTAATTCTCCTAGACCAAGCAGGAGTTAACATATTTGTGTTTTCCAAATCTTGTTTATATTTGCCAGCCATACAAACGTTTAAAAAGTATTTTTAGCTTCTTTCTAAGTGGTTTATTGCCTCGAGGTAATTTGTTAATAATGCAGATTTATCCTTCAATTAATTATAGTCAATTAGTTATCTGGCTTCTAAACCTCTCCTCTGTCCTCCTCCCAAAACTAGCATAACAGTTCCATGGTTACAGTTTTGGTATGTTTTCTTATATTTTTCTTATGGTATGGCTATATTTAATCTGGGAAAACGGAAGAGTCAGGCTGTGGGGCAGTCTGACACAGGTTTTGGTAATGAAAGGATCCTTTCTTGCACAAATGTGCTTCCTGAGAACAGTTAAGCTACTTGTGTGATAAGGTACAAAAACTATGTAAGGACTGCAGAGTCTGTCCTGCATTAACAGGTATTGAATTATAGCAATGAATATTAATTAATAGGTACTTACTATAGTAGAAGAGATCCAAAGCCTGAGTCACAGATATAAGCAAGTAACAGTTCTCCTCACCCTCAATGGACACTGTCCTCCTTTGTGCCCAGGCTGAATTATGTATGTTCTTGATGTTTTTGTGTTTGGTGATGCATAACCTTCATCATCCCTTGGTCAGAGGAACTAGCTGCCACTCAAACCCCCATGAAACACTGTGGCAAGAGCTGGTGTTGAATCCATATGAGGCAAGCTTCTTGGGTTGGGTTTTTATTTCTTATGTTACAAACGTGAAATTCCTGTCAAATTTACTGAAAGCACTAAAATGTTTCAAACAAACCATAACTGATTGATGTTTTCATGTGTGAGTTAGGCAAATAATTGATGATGATTGCTCAGTTTTGCTTTGAGATTTGGGTTCAGTTAAATGTGACACTTGCAAAATTTATCACTGAATACAGCCAGGAGAACCAAAGTAGGAGAAAAAAAAGCACACTCAAATGCCTTGAGAACATGTTTGTGCATATTTCTCCTGCAAAGTACAGCAAGGTGTAAATGGTGCAATGGTACAGCAAGTGGTGCAAATATACAATCGAAAAGGTGGTTTGACTCAAGCTAAGGAGATGGGCAGTGGCATGTTGAACCCATTTTCCTCGCACCACAGTTCATGCTAAAGACTTAGGGGCAGCCCTATCCATTCAGACAGGGTCCCTCCAGCCAAACATCTCATCTCCAGCATTGGCCATAAAATGGGTGCTAGGAGAAACAGCAAATGTACCAAAACTTGACCCCAGGTATCAGTGTAAACAATTTGTAACAATACTCTTGAATGAAACAGTCAGGTTGGTCCTTCATGTTCTGCATAATTTGGACTTGCTGTGTCATTTTTTTTTTTTGAAGTACAGCTTGTTGGACCATTTCTTTTCCTCAAGTTTTCAGTTGTGTTAGAAATAGAAGGTGGGTGTGGTGTCTATCAGCTATGCAGACTGTCTCAACACATTTGATTTAACATTTTGTTGTTACTCCACAGTTTGAGATGCTGACAGGGTCGTTACCCTTCCAGGGAAAAGACAGAAAGGAGACAATGGCACTTATTCTCAAGTGAGTACTGAAACTGCTTTTGTTCCTGTAACTATAAGTTAACTATATCCTCTGGACAGCCTATAGGTCCTAAGTATATGAAGGATAGAGAATAATAATGTGAATAATGCAATTTTCAAAGCTATGTAAGGCATGAATTTGGTAATGCCTGAATTTGGTAACAGCTGATGCCTGCATGTGGCTCTAAAATTGCCTTCAGAATAAATAGGAAGTGAATTACTGAGAGGACCTTGCAAAAGAGATGTATCTTACTTTCTCTAATAATGTCATTATCCGCACAAAAGTGGGAACAGTCACATTTCTGCAGGATGACTTCTGTTTTGTTGTCACCGTTTAAAATCTTTTCCTTTGCAAATTTCCTGTTCATTTAATGTTAAGTGCAGACATAAGTATTTTAAGCTTATCTTAGCTCAATATTGCATTTTTTCTCTGTAGCAGTGAATCATCAAGGAATAAGTTTTATTCTCTTTAATCAATATGTGGTTTAGTGTAATTATTTTCATGAAGTTTTATTTGTTTGTTTAAATTCCTCTTGATTCCCAAATTTATACCAACAATCTAAAAAAATAAAAAAAAAATCTGTAGGAAAATGACCTATTTAGGCTGTAAAAGGTGTTGCGAGATTCATTAGATCTACTCTACTTCTAGTAAAGCCAGTGGTAAAACCTTCTTTAACTTCAAAAGAACAAGATCAGGTCCTTGCTCTGTGTTGCATTATACTTAGGTAGCCTTTGTTCACCAAATTCATGTGTTTGCCTGTCATGACTACTACAGTTCCGCTTTTTAAACCACAGTGGGATGGAGAAAATTTTTGAAAAATCTATTTTCTTTTCAAGTGTTGTGTTCTTTCAGAGCCAAGCTGGGAATGCCGCAGTTCCTGAGCATAGAAGCCCAGAGCCTGCTGCGAGCCCTCTTCAAAAGAAACCCCTCCAACAGATTGGGTACGCGTGCGCATTTGTTTGGGGCATTTGTTATGTGCGCTCTGCCTTGGCAGGTGGCGATTGTTTCTCTCAGTGCATCTTCCCTGATAGTTATCCTCCTCATTATGTGGCATTTCACATTCCTTCCCAGAGCGCAGTGAACCTTAGGCATTACTAGAGAAATTTACAAAGAGCACAGACAAACCACTGGAATCTAAAACATGATATTAGCTTCTATTTATTTTTTTGGTGAAGATGGAGAATTAAACCGCCAACATTTATGAAAGGTTTAAGATAGCTGCTGCATATGAAAACATAGGGAATTGAGGAACAGATATCTTTCTAAAATCTGTATAATTTAGCTGCAAACCTGAGGTGGGGAGCAAAAGGGAGTAGAATTTGTCTCTTCCATTCTAAAATACATTTCAGTGCTGTCTCGTTCTGTGTGCTGGGAACATTTTCACAGTAAGCTTTCTTCTTTACTGCCCTAAATGTATTATCTCTTTTTTTACTTGTGTGTCTTCACCCTTTGTTAATAATCCTATTTAAATTTTGATAAACAAGAAGTATGTATTGAATCATGTATCTTATGCCATCTGTACCTTTGTTTGGGAATTTTATTAAGAAACTCATTGTATTTGACAAGGTCATGGACAATGGCTGGTGCCATTGTTATGGACAATGCCTGGTGCATGATTTTCATTGTAAATTTGGTCTTCATTTTTTACGTGGAAAAATAAAAACAGTCATAGCACGTGAATTATATGAAAATAATAACACTGTAATTTTTTAATTTTAAAATCATACCTAGTTCTGTGAAAACTTGGGGGGTTTTCTTTTTTCCTCACAAGTCTCATATTCTGCATTTTGGATGAACAAGGGAAAAATTTGCTTCTGAAGGAAAGGAGCAAATCTTTCCATCATACCTCTGTTGGGGTTTTTGTGACCTTAGGAGCAGGAATTGACCTTAGGAGCAGGAATTTAATCCTCCATCTCTGTAAACTGTATCACAAGAAGAGAGCTGATGGGTCATACTTAAATATGTGTTTGACTGTTATTGCCATCCTTTGGAGTTTTGGCAGCTAATAAATGACTAGAGAATGGCATAGAGTGGCTAAATATTGAGATTTGTGATAAGCCAATTTGCTGTTCTCTCTTGCAGCTGTTTATGCTTGTAAGATTATTTCAGATTGGAGATGTAAAGTTAGAAGCAAAAAGCTAAATTAGGAAATGGCTTCTTCTGAGATATGGAAAGAGCACGAGATGTAAGAGAAGTTTCTTTCTTTCCTTCCTGCAGTACCTACACTCACTTTTCAAATGCTGGAGGTGGTGCTGCTGGATGTCTGCTGCATGGTGCTTTTGGTCCACTGTGCAGCACAGTAGCAGCCAAACACACGGCAGAGCACAAAAGGTTTGACAGCCCACTTCCATCACCCTCTGCCTGAGCAATGGCTCCTGCAGTTTCTAATGGGCACACATGGGTGTGCACGTACATGTGTGGAAGATGGACACTCTGCTCTGTGCCCTTGAGCTTCTGCTTGACCTTTTCATGCTCTGGTAGCTCTGTCCCTTGCTTCAGGTGGGGCAGCATGTGGGCTGTTCCAGCCCTTTGCTTTATACTGAGCACCATCAGACTGTCACATTTTAGGTGAATGGATGGTTTCTGCCTGACTGCAAAAACTCAGCCAGAGCCCCTTCCTCACGCAGAGGCCAGACATGGTGGCTCAGCTGTTTCTGAGAGACCTTTCATCCTGTGGACAAGGACAGCATGGAGCAGGCTGCCTCTGACTGTGACTGCTGGGGAGAGCAGGAGCCAAGTGCCCTCGCTTCACACAGGGACCGGGGGACAACCCGACCTCCCACAAGTCTGGGCAAGAACGGGGAGCCAGTCCCTCAGCATGCTGCTGTGGCCCCTCTCCTCCCAGGGGGATGCCCACACAGCCCACGGAGGGAATGCCCTCCCATAGCTTTTACCTCTTGACATAAATGGTAGCTCTTGTAGTCTGATATGCTGTAGAGATGATAGTGAGAAAACATATTTTCTCAGCAGATTTCAATTGCTCTCAAGCAATTTGCTTGACATTAGATGAAATTAGAGTCTTGGGATTTCTGGGTTTAATCTGTGTTCAAAAAAATAAGATGCTGCAGCAAATATAAACTTTTTCCCCTTCCCTCTCTCTGTTCCTTTCTGCTGTGTCCTCCCTGTCTCCATCTCGTGGTTTTGTTCTGCTCTGCTCATTTTGTGGCTTCCCACAAGCTGCTATCCATCCAGAATGGGGCTCCAGTAAAGCCAATGGGGGATTCTAGATACCAGTCCTTAAATAAAAAGCTACTCACTGAAATAAGCACAGTTGCTTAATTTTAGCCATGACAATTCTAGCCCCCCATATCATCTCCCTTTTAATAATGGGGAATTGCTGAAGGTCAAGATTTTAAACCTGAGGTTTATTGAAATACTGGGAAGGCTGGGAGAAAGGAAGAGGTTATTTATAACACAAACATCCAAGGAAATAAAATCTAAAAGAGTAAGAGAAAATTAGATCTTGACATTTCAGGGGTAGCAGTGGAAAGCTCTGAAGACACTCTTGTTTTAACTGATAGAGATTCAGCACAAACAACAATGTAAACAGTCTTGTTAGTAATGAGAGGAGGAATACTTAAATAGTTGGCCTAAATACTGTACTGAAGTCAGCAGATAAAAGGACTGCTTCAACTTTGTAGATTTTAGCTTTTTCTGGGAAAAAAAATAATAGTCTGTAGTTAAAAGAAAAGTAGGCTTAGACATCCCATTTCGAAAAATCTTTGGAAAATTAATGAAGCATGCTAAAATAAATGAACCATATTATGGATCAAATGCTTATTTTCAGCCATTGTTTCAGAAATTTGTGAATCTGGAGAGTATATTTAATTCCAAAGTGTTTTTACTAGTGGCAAGATGAAACATGCTGAGCTTTGAAAAACATTTTATTCTGAACACCATCTTCCTTTTTGCCATTTAATTGTGATATCTTAACAAATAGAAGTAAAGACTGATCACATTTTCTAAAACTTTGCTTTGTAACTTTGTTTTGAAACTTTAGATTGTTAGAGTTGAAGGGAGATAGTGAGACACAGCAGAGAGGAATTTGGTAATCCAGTTTACCGGATTTTATTTTTTAAGTCTGGTGCCCATTTTAATGTTTTAGAACAAATTTTTAAGGAATGGAAAGTCTTCCTTCCTTTGGCATCCCTTGTTATGGGTGCTGTCTGTCCTTTCCTGAGCCTATACACTCTGCTGTACAAATAGTCTGCATAGCACTGCTTTGGTAGTATTGCTCTGATTAAGTACAACAAATTTCAGATTATGGACAAGCATAATTTTTAATTCTTAAAATAAACTAACTGGATTATCCAGGCAAATAAGCAGTAAGCATCTCAGAAAGGAAATTGTACGATGAAGGTGTCAGTTCATTACATTGCCAGGAACTTAGGTGAGATACTAATTCTTACTTGTCCTAAGGCCTGGATCTGCTCAGGTAGGTAAATGAATGTAAAGAGCATTTCTGGAACTCCCTACACTGGCTGAGCAGTATAAAGGTTCCAGAGTCCTTATAATCGAGAAGCTTGGCCAAGAAAGTATAAAATAAAAGAATGCACTAGTACAGAGTAAAAGCCAAAGGAATAGTTACTATTTCCTTAATCCCATGTTCTCAGAGAAGATACATTTTGCTTTGGCACATACCAAACTTTGGGTTTCAATTTAATAAGATGACGAGTTTTAAAAAACAAGTTTCACCTTTGTCAGAATGGCTATGCATCTTTCTTGTAAACTTCAGGAATGCATTTCAAATAATCCAGCCCACTAAAAAGATTCTGAAGCTGTGGAGACACTAAAATTTTATTATCTGAAACTAAAAATCCAGAAACTCTTTCTGCTCATTTTGAATATTCAAATAATCAACTTTCAAATTTCATATATCTCGCTTTCTCCCCTTAATATATTTCAAGGCTTACACTGTCCATAATGATTCAACAATCAAAACCAATTACAAATAAAACATTCTACTGTTACTGCTCACAGACACTTTTATTACAGGCATAAAACAATCTTAGATAATCAGGTTCTTGCTTGTTAACATGAGGCTGCTTTTATATAAATCCTTGCACTCTGTAATGTGTTTAAACTGGCAATTTGATCTGAAAGCATTATTTATCTTCTCGGACCCTTGTGAGACAGGATGGTACATAAGAATATTTGCAGGCAGGTTTGATTGTACTGATTATTCTTTACAGATAGCTTTGATTACTAAATTGAAGTTAAAGTGAAGTTTAAAAAGCAATTAGAAACCTAGAGGGAGGTGAAAGTTTTGCAGTCATGTGCTGTGCCATTGTGTGCTGTACATCAGCAGTTTGCTAAATACCCATCTCTGTACCATGAAATGTACATCCTCATGAATCAGCGCTCTCCAGTTATGACTTCTCCAGTGCTTCTCTTTTCTCTGTGAAAGTACATCTCTGAGTGGCTGAAACATGCTGAGCAAATCCGGAGAGACTCCACCGTAAGCACTGGTGCCTAACCTCTCCCATGGACTCCTGCAGCAGGGTCAGGCTTGCCCCTCCAGGCTCTCAGAGCTGTCCCTGAACACACCCTTGGGCCACCTCCCTCCTACAGCGGAGGAGAGGACCAAGCCACACGGTGCTGCCTGTGGCCACAGCACACAGCCCAAGAGAGAGCCATGGGCTACACCAGCAGGTCTTATGGCAGGGAAAATCAGGGAATAAAAACTACAGGAAGCACTGAATCTTCTCCATGGTGTAGAATCGGTTGCTGGGAATTAGAAGCCCTTCACTCTTTGCAAAACTAAGCTATTACCATTCTACATCTCTTCAGTGCATTAAGCTAATCAGAGATGGAATCAAGACCTGGGACTCCTAACAATATATTCCTTCTGTGCCGGAGCTTTGAATTGGCTCCAAGTGAGAAATGCCAATTTTTAGAACAAATGCCTGTGTCAACTGCATGGTGCATTCCTTACAGCACACTGCAGTCTCCCACTAAGAGAAGTAGCTATGGGTGGGCTTTTTCCTTGATCCTGATTTCCATGTTTTTTGTGGAAAAAATAACAACAGTAGCAAAAAAGTGTGGCTTTCAAATCAATCCTCTGAAAAAGGTAGATCATTCCCATCACACAATGGGGTATCCATAAGCCTGCAAGAGAGGGAAAAGGGAAGCAGTGGAGTAGGGACAGAGCACAGAAGATTGGATGCATTAGCCATTATCCTCAGTAGGCTACCAATGAGCATATGAATGCTACCAATAGCTTAGTGTCTGTAGCATTTGTCCCAGTCCTTCAAAATCAGTGTGGCACTTGGGTTTCATCCTTCTGTAGCAAAGAACATCTACTGCACATTACAAAGTTTGCAGTCCCTGCCGCTGAACACAAAACATTTTTCACAGATATTTCTTCTCTGAAGAGTTGCTTAATGTAATTCTCTTCAGAGTAACTATGTTGGTTTCATGTTTCTGTTGGCATTGCTAAAATCAGAATGAATCTGTCAGAAGAATCTAGTGCAGACTTCAGACTGTGCATTGAAAAAACATGATAGGGAAGACATAGAACAAGCCTTATCACTATTAAAGTCTTAGTATTTTCTTGTTCAGTACCCACGGGACATAAATAACTGCCTAGGGAAGAGTAAGAATAGGGTAAGCATATGTGATACTTCACCCAAATTCTCTCCCAGTCTACACCTGCTTTAAGGTCAAGCAAGGGGTTTCCTGAACCTCTTGTGGCTTGTCAGTGGAGTAACCTTCAACAGATTTGTTTTCAACATACTTTTCTGGCCTCCCCCTGAACCCATATAGATATTTTGCATTCACATCATCTTTTCCAAGGAATTCTACATTACACAACTATCTGTTGCCTGGGGAAACATCTCCAGGTTGTTCTGAACCTGATTCCTGCTAGCGTCATTTAATGATCCGTCGTAAACCTCCTCAGTCATCTTTTTCCAAGTTGAAAAGTCGTGGCCTACTCAGTCATTCTATACCATTCCTTGTTGCCCTTCTTTGATTTTTCCTACCTTAGATCAGTACATCATTTTATAGGCAAGGATGTCAACTACATTCCGTGCTCAAGTTGTAGGTGTACAAAACACTTATACAGTGACAATGTAATTATGTTCTCCCTTTTGTCCTCTTTTCGCTTTCTAAGTTTTGATTTCATGTTGTGTTTGTCTAAAACTGTCTGTTCATCATAACCCAAAGACCTTACTTTTCAGTGGGGCTGATCACGTCTGAGCACATAATTTTGTATGGTGTGCTAGAAGTGTTTGTCCTCATGTGCATAACAACATTGCTCTATACTGTATGATTACCAGGATGGGGAAGTAATCAGAACATTCCTCTTGTGTTAGTATCCAGCAGGCCTGACAGACAATCCTGCATGTTATGTTCACAAAGTTTTTGCTTTTTGTATCCATTCATCAGTGAATGTTAAGCAGGACATAGGAAGCCATTCCTGATGAATGCATTTTGGCAAACATCAATAATGTCTTGCACACAAGAAGAGTAGATGTCACATTTTACGAAAGCTTGAGTTGACAAGACCTTTCTAAAGCAGCTTGTAATGTTGATCTTCACAAACAAATGCTGTATACAAAAAGCTGATTCCTCTGAGGTGCTGAGTGCCTTTTTCAGGGTGCTTCCCAAGTCATTTTGGGAATCAAGGATGCTCAGCATCCTTGTAAAGAAATGCTGGGTACCTTTCAGGAACTGGTTCCAAAATTGCAATGCAAAGCCTTTGCTTCCAGATGTTATTTTTCCTACTGGAAAATGAAAGGTGCTATTAATAAAGTCAAATAAACCCCAAAAATGGCATGCTAAATCATCCCTGACAGTTGTTTAATTATTGCTGAGCACCTGTTGGGTTTTGCAATGGCACTGAAGCAAATAAATTGTTTTAAAGGAATAAAAAAATCAGTTTTCAGTGAAGAAATAAGGCAAAAGTAATGAAGGAATTAAATTCATTACCAGATCTCGGAAGAGTTTCCCTAAATTTCCTATAGTAATATAACAGAAATTTAACAGTGAAGGAAACATACCAGTGAGAATGCTGATTTTGGGACTCATGCAGATTTGAAGATGGTATTTGAAAAAGGGGAACCTAAAACCCCGGCTTACCTCAAGGTTTACCTACCTTTGGAGCCTTTGGTATTTTGAGTCTGAACTTATCTGTAGTGCAGCTTTCTCTGCCTGTGGAGAATGAGTAATTAGACAGGGTTTGAAAGTTGGTGCAGATAAGCGAGCTGCTGCTGGTGGCAGGGAGCAGCAGTAACCTTGCCATAGCATCAGGACATCTTGGGGCCTCTCCTGGCCTTGCTGGTGCGTGTGCTCTGCTGTGGCTGAAATCTTGAGTCTCATCTGAAGCCTGAAGAGAGCAGCTATTCAGCCTCGGCACCAGACGCAATTAGAGAAAAGTAAAAAACCCTCAGCCATCAGATTTTCATTAATGAAGTGCCCTTGTCTGTATTTATAGTAGTTTATACTGTTACGGCAGTTGCACTGTTCAGGGTTTCTTGACTGGAATAAATGTTTAGATGGTGACTCTATCAGAAGAAAAGTGGGGATGGGGAGGAAGGCTGGCGAAGAGATGTCATGCAGCACTCTTCTAAGCATGACTTCATTTTGAGTCTTTCATTCTCTTGTCAGGTGCTGGATTCGATGGAGTGGAAGAAATTAAACGTCACCCTTTCTTTGTTACTATAGACTGGAACGTAAGTGGAGCAAGCATTTTTTTATAATTTTTTTTTCTTAGCTAGATTTTTGAAGACAAACTGCCATACTTAGAAAAAAGATGAAGTGAACTCAACATAACATAGAGAACCCAGGAGCTAGAGCATTTTAAGTGGGTAGCTATGTCTATTGCATACAGATTTGGCAGTGTTAGGTTTACAGTTGGACTTAATGATCTTAAAGGTCTTTTCCAACCTAAACGATTCTATAATTCTATACATACATTTGTTCACATACCCACAAATGAATGAAATAGAAAGCTTTTTTCAGCATTGCCAGTTTTTTCTCTTTGTTTTGTTTGATGGTCTGGCTTATCACAGTACAACCTGAGGCTGTTTGCAGTGTTCTGCAGAATAATTTCCACATTCAGCTCTAATAAACATGGCACATTGACTGTGGGAGATGGGCTGGGATGAAAATGAGCAGCTTTAAATGTAAAAATCCCTGTAATATTTCAGTCGCAAAAGAAAAGAGAGCCAAAGGACTGGGCTTGAAAGTGATATGCCAGAAGGAAGCAGTGTGATGCTGTAGGTCCCTCCACCTTTCCGCTTTCATGTTCCATATTGAAATACTTGTCCATTCTCACTGGGTTGGGAGAGCTGGACTAAATTCTAGTTTTATTCTTTCTGATATCAGGGAACTCCAGGAATGCTTTTCTCTCTTGGAACTGTTCAGAGCAGCCCCATGTCTGCTCTTACACATCTGCTGACAGTAGCTCCAATTGCTCCAAGACCTCCAGGTGTACCCTCTTCCCAAACACAGCATGGTGCTGGTGGAACCGTCTGGGTATCTGTAGAGCTGGTACAGCAGGCTGAGCAGCAGGTTGAGCTACTTTATGCTGGGGGAATCATAAATCTTTCAACAGGATAGCTTTGTTAACCCCTTCTTGTCACTTCTGGCCTAAATGACCATAGGACAGGATCTGGCCCTTCTGCTGTATTGCAGTGGGGGCTATGGAAAAGCACAACACAGATGGATTTTCAGAATAGTGATTTTACATCACTGAGTACACAAAGTCAAACAGCCAGAACAGGAAACAGCAACTTCTCTTATAAGTGGTGGATGTTTTATTGAGGTGAGTCATTAATTTAACATCAGCACTCAAAATTGGAACAGCAAACATTTGATCAAATGTAACATGGTTCAAATAAGACATGTCAGACATGATTAACAGAATGGTCAATAGGGATTTATTTTATTGCTATTAGCTACAGCTCATAAAGCTGGCCGTAGAGATTAGCAAAGTATTCAATTTAGACTTGTAACAGTTTAAACCTCACATTTTCAGCATCATATTTGTTCAAATTGACTTATTTTAGACAAACCTCGAGGCAAACACTTTTCATTCGTGATCTGGACATCTGCCAATGCATCAGAGCTCTGGTTTGCCACAACCTCTAGAATTTTCTAGTTTAATTTTATCTGACCTGTATGGTATTGTTATGTTTCTTTAATATCTGATCTGAACTCACTCATGAATGCTAATGTAACAGGTCACATTGGTGCAGTTCTCACTATACTGGTAAAACAGCATGAATATATGGGACAGAGCCATTCTCAAACTGCTGCTGAGGGCTTTCCAGTAAAGCTAATTCCTCTGTGAAAGCACATTTTGTGGTGCCCCGATGGCCTTTGAAAAGCCCACAGAATAAATTATTTTGAAAAAACATATTAATCTCATTTGAATTGTGTGTTGAAATGTTGGCATGATTCATGAGTATATTAAGAGATGATCAATGAAAGTTTGAGATTTTCCTTTATGGTCCAGCTGAATTTTAGTTCCATTACCTATGTTTTGCAGTCTAGATTCTTTTTCCTCTTCAGCTTCTTACTAATCATGAGATTCTGTATAAAGACTTTATATTTATGAAAAGAAAAACATAAGAGAATCCTGAAGAGTTGGGTTCTTTATTATTACTATTTTCTGTATTTCTGTATTCCTCTGATACCTCTACAGTCCTCAGCTTTGCAGTCAAGATACAGGTCAGGGTGCATGCATTTTAACATAATTAAGGAACACTGGAGCAGTGAGAGGGTTTCTCCTTCTTCTGTGTTTGCTAGTGGAGGAGCTCAGTAACTCATCACAGAGGAATGAGGCTCTGCATCTTGGAAGGGTTTTCAGCAAAGTCAGTTCTGGACTGTGAGACTTCCCAAGACCATCTTCTCTCATGATGATTGGTGATTGTCTCAAGCTCAGTTCTTTTGGGAACAATTTCATGCCTGTCTTAAGGAAACTGTACAGATATCCATCATTTGATAAAGCTCTTATGGATGGGTTAGGAGCTAGGAATGCTTGAACATGACTTGGAGCTAGAGGAGAAGGTGGATTTAATTGCCCTTTGGTGTCTTATCTAGCTCTCTAACTTTGCCATAAAATGTAGATGTAGAGATCCATTTTAATCCAACATAATTACTGCTTATTGCACTCTTTTCGAGACAAACAGATCATTATTACACAGATCAGCTATCATCTTTTTAATATATTCACTCATTTAGTCCAAATTTTACTATCACTCACGGCGACCTTGGGAGGCTTATCTAGTTACAGCAGCAGTATTGTACGCATTTCATAGTGGTGTGAGCCAGCCTGGCCCTGAGCTGAAGCCTGGTCTTTGCCTTATGATGATCATCCAACCAACTGTTAACATGTTCTTCATGGATAGAAACAGAGCAGGGTCAGAGAACAGAAATGGATCAGGCACAGATGTTTAGTGCTGATCTCTGCACGATTGCAGTAAAAGAGTCCCTGATGCCCTCATTTTGTTCTCCCATCACGTATACAGAATCTCTCACATCAATTCGCAGGCAGTCAGCAGACAACATTGTTGAGGCAGGACATGAATGTTGATTTATTTTATACCTTGGTAATATAAAGACCTCAGACAGCAAGAGGCAAGCTCTTTTGGAGAGCTTCTGTACTGCCTTGGCAGCTATGATAGACAGGACTGCTGCGACTGACAGCACAGAAACTTTCAGCAACTGAAGTAAAATGATCCTCCATCAAGAGCCCCCTTATCACAAAGGGTCAGAATGAGTTAGTGTCTTATAGAAACTCAGTGCAAAACAGATCTTTTTTTAAGCAAGATTTTCCTACAAGAGTAATGTGATAACCAGAAACTAATTACCAAGCTGCTTCATCTAATTTTAAAAAGAGATTCAAAACAGAAATGAGTTGGATGCCTGTTTCCAAGCTGTGTGTGAAGTCTAGATACTGCAGTGATGAAGCCATTAGAATTGCAGACAGAAATATATAAATTGGACCTTCATTTCGAAATACTGTCAGAGTTGTTCCCTCAGGTTTTGGATTGGGGCTTGGTTATTGTCTCTATTGCTGAAGTGTTTACCTGTTGGAGTAGTCATTTCCCACTTGTTTCCCATCTTTCACTGTCTTCAGACACAACCAGACATAGTGTCTATTTTGGATGAAGGCAGAAAACACAGTGGAAACAACATACTCAGTGTAAAAAAGCCCCCTGTTAGGATGCTGCAGATGCTCCTGCCAAGCACAGCAATGCTGACGGCGTATGACCACTGCATGCAGAGGCGATAAGTGTGATCCTGGAAAACATGAGTGTGGCCAGAGAACAACCGTCCTCCTCCCGCCCATTCCCAAATACCATTTCCATGTTCCAGGGTGCCATTCTTCAGCACAAATCTCCAGTCACCCGCGGTTTAACTTCTGGTATATAAGTAGCACTAAATGAATTGTGGACAATCTGACACAGAGTTTTTATGGTCAAACTTAAATTGTGGCATGAGCTAATCTCTGTCAGAGTCTTATTTTTACAGCTATTGTCACCCAGTAACAAAACCCTAAATTCCCACTTCCCAGGATGAAAAGTAGATTAAGGTTTCTGCAAATATCAGTCTTACTGCTCTGAGGCATTTACTAGGCACTGTGATGCAAATTCAATAGATCCTTTGTTAAATGAATGGACTGTCTTTCATAATCAAGGCTGGGATTCACAAGGAGGTTAGATGTCCAGTTCTTTCTGAGTTTTACCTGCATACTACCCTTGCACGCCCTTTTCTCCCCAAGACAGGCAGACCCAAACCAAATTGACCTCAGATAATTTCAGTCATTGGCCCTGAAAAAGCACAGTCTGGTTCCTGATATTTTTTAACTGTTTCTTCTTTCCAGGTCATTCATGCATAAAAAATTTCTGGCTTTTCATTGAAAATGAAAACTGAAATCCCTTTTCACAAACTACAGTTGGAGGAGCGGGCTAAAAACAGTAGTTTTTGTTTAGATGACAGGCTAAATTGGAACCAGAGCAAATGACATGCTAGAAAATTAACTGTCAAATACAGTTGAGGGAAGGAGTGGGAAGAAAGTGGACTCAAGTTCTATTTCCTTCAATATTAATCAGAGATCAAACTAAGCTGAAAACATGAATTATTTAATGGCAGATTTTACCAACAGCAAAAATTGATCCCAAGATCTGAATTCAGCTAGCTTTTCTATCTTTTGCAGGCAATAACACTGAGTCATTAATCTAGGAGAGAGCAAGCATTTTAGAAGGTAGTTCATCCTTTTGTCCCCTCATTGGATTTTCCATGACAGGTATATGTATCAAGGGAGTTTATTCTCACACTGCAAGTGCGTCACTCTGGAGGGTAACATCTTTCTATTTCTAGAAGGTGTCTAAGGAATAATTCAATTCTTTATCAAAGAAACTCAGTTGAGGAAATGACTAAATAGTTTTTAATTAAATTAAACCATTTTCTTTTGCTTGATATTTGCCAGGCACATATACAGAGCACTTATATCTGGGTGGGTTTTTTTTTTTTGATGTACATTTAAAAGATGACAAAAAATTAACTGCTTATAAATAAGAAGAGATGGACACATATTGCAACATTTTGTTACTAGTCTCTGTGATGTACAGAGGTGAGGGGGTGTTCAGATGAAACTCATATTAGGGATGTAGCAACATATATTAAGAAAAGGTCATTGGGAACTGGGGGAAAATTAGTTATTTAGAAAAAAATAACGGGGGTTGTCCCAAATCAGAAAGGAAGCTGAGAGAAGCTCATAGTTTCTCAAACTGCTATAGAACTGTGTTCTAGTTAATTCGTAGGTACTTATTAGTCTGAAGGTACTGATTATCAAAGTCTCAGAAGGATGTGAGGGGTTGATAAGTAGACAGAAGCATGGATATGTATCCAGGTCTGAATATATAAATCAGAACTTTCACACTTGGAGTTCATCCTTCTCATTCTGTGAATTATGCACTCTATCTGCACAGCCTCTGGATCCAACAGCCATGCATGATGCACAGTGATTCCTGATACCAATCAGTTGAATTTTCTGTGATAAGTCAGTGCTCTGGCCAGTTTAGAAAAATGGCAGTGGGATGTGGGGAATTATTCTTTACTGTGAAAGAGAGAGAAATTACATTCCCAATAAAATATTAAGGGCTAAGGAACACATTTCTCCTTTACAGATGTGGAAGCAATGTGGAAGAAAAGAAAAACCTTCAACTTCTTATACCCATGCAAAATAATACACATATAATGATCTTAAGTACCCAACCTGAAATTTAAATGTTCCAGTTAACATTAACATACTAAAAGTCTCTTTTGAATGCCTAATAAGATGCCCCAAAATAATAATTTGGATATGAAAACTTGGATTTAAACTGGGACAGCTGGGACCCTGTTCCCATTAAAATAGATGGTGGAACTCCCAGTGACTTCTGCTTACAGAGTGAGGATTACTGTGACTTGGGAAGTAGATAACTGTTTTAACTTACCAGAAGTTACATGACAGCCTGATAGAAATGGTCAAAGACAAGATTTGAAACTTGGCTTGCTATGCCACTCTGGTTGGTTTCTATTGGAAGAGATCAAGGTGATCCATCAGCCCCGAATATTTTTGGGACCGTGGTAAGAAATAATAGATTAATATATTTCACCTAAAATTAGAAATATTCTTGGAAAATCCAGAAGGTTCTCAAATCCTCCAAGAGATTTGTTCTCTCTGTCTATAGAAAACAACAGCTGTGATTCTTACTGTTTTCTTAGGTCAGCTGGGGTCACATTGTGTTTTGCAGTCTACAGGATGCGGGTTTTTAAAGGAAAAAGTGCTCTGCCTGCAGCAAGCCTTCATGTTTAACTGTGTTGGGCTGCCCTGTGGTTTAGTGTGCTTCAGTGAATTGGCTTTGGTTGTAGTGGCTCATTCAGAGAACTGGAGCCAGTGTGAAATGGGAAAGCCCGGAGATGACAGTGCTTTGCTTCTTGTTGTACCTCCAAGATTTCATTTAGTTGGCCAATTTAAGAGCTTGGGCGAAAAAGGCAGTGTACCTTTTGCTGTTTCTAGTTGTCGAGTCAGAAGCACCAGAAATAATTTTTATCACAAATGGAAAAGGGAGTCATTTGGGTTGTGCTCAGAGGAGGTGCCCTTCACTCACACAAACAACTTCTTTGTTTCCATCCCCTCTTAGCAAGCAAATTTGTGATTACACATCTTTAGGTGGCATGTGATTCATGATTAATCCCTCCCTGGTGGTGGAGGATGTGGGTTAGGGATTCAAAATACAAATGTAGCTCCAAGAGCACTTAAGAAGCTACAGATGGGGGGAGGAATTAAGAGGCCAGAGAGAATATGGTTACGATAATCAAAAGAGAGTGCAGTTCCTGAATTATGTACAACTCTAAAACATTTTTCAATTTTTGGACCTCACAGGATGAGGGGTAAATTTAATTCAAGGAGGAAGCATATGTGTGTGACCATATTGCTTTCTGCAGTAGAAGGACTGCAGTTGTGAATTAAGACAAATAAAGGGAAGCTGGAAGCAAATAGATTTCACAAGGGGAAATCCTAGCAACAGAAAAACTTGCTGTAAGTGCCGAGTTCTCTTTTAAAGTTCTATGCGGACAGAAAAAGATATATGTTAATTAGTAGGTTGATACTTTTCTGTTGATGAGTGACACTTCCTGCTTAAAATTGCAATTGGCTTTTAATTATTTGGAAGACTGGCTTTCCATTGTGGCTCACAGCAATTATTCATCTCTTTTTCTCACAGAAGATACAGAGCAGTTTTATGCAAGCAGGAACTTTTTATGGTGAAATGGCTATTAATTATTGCAGTCATTTCCAGCCTCACCATTCTGCTTTTCCAGGGAATCATAGTTCAGCCACAAACATATGCTTTATGCTAATGATAATACTGTACCACAAAATGCCCTGCCTCAAGAACCTTTATTTATCTTTGCAAAATCTAGTTCAAATTATGTTGATGTGTATATATCTAAGGTTTGACCACATGCTTTATATTACAGAAGTTAATTTCACCACAAAACCCACAGTTAAAAAGAATCTTCCTGCATGCAAAGAGCTGAACAAGCATGTATTAATCTCCATTAAATATTTTGAAAAATCAGCTCATTATGAAGTTGTTTTAAGAGCTAGCCTGAAAATACATACTACAAACAGTCATAAAATTGAACTCTCCAGCTCATGATTTGAAAGTTTGGATGAAACATTATATTTATGCTCAGATATGTTATTTATTGGGCACTGTTTGTGGCAACTAATTCAGCCCCTTGAAACCTGATAATAAAAGCATTACTAGAAAGAGAATGAAGTCTAGGGCCTGAAATATAGGGCAGGGAATCTAACTGGAGCTGTTTCCCATGCTGCCATCAGCATGATACTCAGTTTTTGCCATATGAAGCAGACATGATGCAAAGATCACTGAAATCAATAGGACTCTTTCCATTAACCTTTGTAGGCTTTGGATCAGATCCAGACATGCTGCATGTCAGTTTGTTCATCTCCCAGAGCGTGTGTGTGTATATGAATGCTTGCAGAGGAGCCAGTGAAGCCATTTCTTAACGATCCCTAAGCATGAGTAAAGAGGCCACGAAATCCCTGCTAATAAAGGCAGTGCATGCATTTGTGGTGACTGTTACTTATGTGATCCCTTACTTATATGATCACCCACCAGCACAAACTCACACACCTAGCAGTGCTTATCTGTTATATACCTTCCTCTCTTCCTTATGTTTTTCCTTGGTTTCACTCCTTTGCTCAAGACACTTTTAGGCTTTCAACATGATTTCCCAACCATCTGCACTGCTTTCTTCCTAACATCGTTTGATGGGAATTTCATCTAATCTTCAGATGTGAGTCCCTTCCCTTTTACCAGATATGCCAGAAGAACAAGTTTCTTGTTTAAGTTGTGAGCACCAAGGCAGCCAGGCCTGTTGCTCAGCTCAGCCTGGCAGAGTGTCAAACATATTGCTAGTTCTTGACAAATAGTAAATGTTAAACCAGCCACCACTTCCTAGCGGTTCTTTGTGCTCATTGCCATTGCTGTGCTGCTGAACTCACCCATGCAGTTTCCTGGTGTTTACCATTGCATGTTCCAGTCCTGCCCTTAAGATCAGCAAATTTCCAGATGCCTCAGCTGGAATATTGTGCCAGTCTATGGACTAATTTTTACCGGAAACATCTGTGGTTTTATTCCTGGATTCCAGTAATTAGAAAGTGCAGGGACCATCCAGGGCACTGTTTTAAGCCCACCAGTCAAGCAGGAGCCAGAGCTATGGATACATCATCCTTTTTTGTCCTTGCCTTCTGCAAGGATGGCACAGAGGTAAACAAAGCCGAGGAGCCAATCTGCAGATGCTGAAGGTGAACAGATTGTTGTTGATTGTGATCTGTTCTTCTCCTTGTAGAAACTATACAGGAAAGAAATCAAGCCACCTTTCAAGCCCGCAGTGGGACGGCCAGAAGACACCTTTCATTTTGATCCAGAGTTCACATCTCGGACCCCCACAGGTTAGTAAGGTGGAACATGGGTAATGCATCTTTTCAGTGGGCAAATTCATTTTTCCTTCCCCTCCCATTCCGGCAGGGTCTGATCACCTGTGGGATTACTGGGTTTTGCAATATTCAGCAGGAAGCAAAGACTGTTTAGCATTTCCAGGAAAAGAAGCTCATAAGCATTTCACCAACCTTATATTAATTTGTCTTCAGGAAGGACAGATTTCACATTTTTAATAGGAAAAACAGCTATTGATTTGATATTTTATTATTCTTATTGTTGCTTATATTAGCTGAGTTTAACTATTTAAAATTACCTCAGCTTCAGAGAACTTTGCATCTCTGCAAGTTAGTGTATAATTATATATTCCATAGATGTTTTCTTTAATTATGAAATCCCATAGACTATGGAATGTTGAAAGTTAACACATGGTTAACAGTAATGAAAAATCATCAAGTTCTCAAACAGGGGAGTTATGCTAACAGGAAATTTGGCCCACAATATTTAGAAAATCCTTACAGTGAGAATGTTGTTCCTATAATTTGCTTCCTAACAGGAATACCACATTTTGTGCACTACATGTATGAAGGTGATTGTTACACAAAATACCATTTTCCACTCTTCTACTTCAAAGCAAGAATATCAGTAACCTCAGAGTGGTAATCCCAGTTGTAATGTTGCCTCTTGCTAGACATGGATAAGCTACTTTATACTTCTGCTTGTGATATTCCTGTGTAAAGAAGTACCTATTCATATGTTTCTAAAATGAAAAAATTTAATTAACTGTTGTTTGTAAAAGCCTATGAAGATAGTAAGCACTGTAAATATCACATAGCATTGTTGTAATAACCAAGTATAAGGTCTCACGCTTCAACTCTCAAATCACCCCAGAACTGTTGCAGTGAGAGTAAGTTATCTGAGCTTTCATTACGAAAACCTCTGCATTATAGCACTTGAATCAGAGCTAAGATTCCCTGTAGTTTTTGTTCAGGTTCATTGTGACCTTCAGCCTTTTTCTTAAAACTAGTCCAAACCTCTTTTCAAAGTCTGGCTCAAACCTCCTTTCATGGAGTGAAATCTTAGTTCCTAGGTTTTTTTGGCAAGGATGTGCCAACTTTCACAAGCTATAGAAATACTACATTCCAGTTATTTGAGTCCAGCTGGAACATTCACCTGTCTCCAGTATATGTTAGTAATGTTTCAATATTCCTATCCCACTGCACGGAAACAAATGATCTTTGAATACCAGACATTTCACACCTTTGATTTTAGCTCTAATTCAGATTTCAGAGGAACTAATTTCTCTGAAATATTGGAAGCATCAGATTACTCTGATCTTGAGAGAAGATCAGGCTTGTACGGCCTGGAAAGTCTCAAGAAAAGCATTAAGAATTTAGATTGCTTTGGAAGTTCACACTTCATTGGTTGTACTGGCATGAAAACCCTTGTACTTCATGCATGTGCTGATGCCCAGGGTTATATTTTACACTCTACATGCATGTTGTTACTGTTGTTTAATTCAATTTGATATCTCGTGAAAGATACTGACTTGGAAGGTTTGTCTTGGCGTAGTGGCTGGGGTGGGGAGATGGCCTGCCTCAGTTCTGCTTCGTACTATCATGGAAAGTGACCTGAGAATTGGAAGTGTGGATCCCTTTACATTTCCAGAGTGATAGAAAAGACTTTGCAGACTGGCAGCATATTTTGCAGACACTGACTGTTGACAGGGTGGGTCAACCAGAAGGGGAGAGCATCACAAGAGCATTTAATACTGGCTCATATTGCTGGTGGAATCAAACAAGAACCTTTTTTATTTAGCATGTTTTCTGTCATGACATAGGCCCCATGCAAACTAACCCCATTAATGAGAATGTACTCAGACAGAAAGCACTGTAATAATTCCTGTTTCATGATGATAACGCAGTCATTGTGTTTTAATGAATCTGTCAGAAAGATATCACCAAGAAGGAGACACAGATACATACAGTCATCTTGCACTCTCTTTATGAATGAGTTCCCCTGCCTGGAAACAGGTTTATGTCAAAGTTTTGGATCCAGTAACTTGCCAATCCAGTAATTTGCCATATCTCAAAAAGTTTCTTTAGCCTGAAGGTTGAAACCACTTTCTATCAATTCCTAACCTCAGCTCTGAGAGCAACAAAGATGTGGTTTCTGACATTGACTGTTCATCCCTATGGCTATAGTTTCCCATCATTTTTTTTTTGAGGGATTCATCTGAGCTGGAGTCAGTTTTTCTGGCCACTTGTTTCCTAAGTCCACCACTGTGGACCCACATCTCGTTTGTGCTGTCTCAGCTCCTCACAGGGAGCAGGAGACTGAAACAATCCAGGTTATAAATGGTGACTTGAACAAGACCTGGTGACTTGAACAAGACCTGGTAATCCAACTTAAATTTCAGTTCACAACTGTTTGTACTTTTGTAAGTGATAGGACAGCATGCTGTAACCAGCAGGGATGTCTTAAACTGGCTTTACTGCTGAGAAAAAAAAATGTAAAATTGCACCTAAAGTATCTAAATTTCCTTCTCTGCAAATAAAATAATATTTGCTAACCCCAGTGAAGCATACTGAAGTAAATTACTTAAGATTTATGAAACCTTTGAAAATCCTATGAAGTTAGATCCTCTAGTGGAATAAAGCATTATGACTTTCACAGGGAGAAAGATAACCATTATACAAGATTGGTGTTTGCAAGTGGGTCTAATTCAGACATATTAAATAATTCTGGATTTATCAAGACTAGGAAATTGATTTAGGTTTCATAGCTATGAGTTAATTAACACGATTTAAATATAATTTAGCATTTAACACAGGTGTTCTAACATTTAATTCATATGATGGGCATATCAGCTGGTGATGATGAATATATTGAAACCAAATAATTAGTAGTTCTTCTACAGTGTTTCATAAAGAGTTTGGCAATGAATTATGAAGGAACAGATATTTTTAAATAGATGACCTAGCACTGACGTTTTAGAGCCGGATCACAGCTTTTCTGAAGTTCAGGAGTGTTCAGATTTGAATTATTGTCATTCCTTTTTAAAAGAAAAACATTCTTTCCTCTTAATTAATCCCTCTTGAGAAATCACTGTTATATATATGCCATTGTAGGAAGGACCCAGTGATGCAAAAGGTCTGGTGTGATTCATCCATGTATTTGCAAGGAGAGTGCCCGTCAGTACATTGAGATAAACAAATAGCCTATGACAAGCTTCTCCACATACCATGCAGTGAGGTCTGACTTGCTGTGCTTATTTCTGACTCCAGGCAAAGATGAGGTGGCTTTGTAATGAGATACAGAATTAACTGTAGTCTCAATTTTGTTTATTTCTGAGCAGATAATTTGTTTTTACCATATTCTGGCTTCAGATCTTCTGTTCAGTTGACCAGTAGATTTATACAGGGAATGTCCCCACAAGGTGATACATCCTCACATATTTTCAGGACCTCAAGCAGTATTCAGTCTTTCATACCATTGCCCTTTACACTAATGGGAGGTGCTGATGGTGTATTTAGGTGAGTCAGATGTAAGATCCAGTGGGGTTGTATTTTCTTTAATGCAACTGGGTACTTAAACACTTGTAAAAGGAGATAGCTTTCTAAAGGAGTTTTGGCTTTGTAACCTTGCCAAGGTAAATCACATCTTGTAATGCAAGAAATGTGAAGGGGGGGACAGGGGGGGAAGGAACAAAAAAAGAATAAATGAGCAAATTTGAGTACTGTAGGTTCTATAATACCCAGCCAGCTACCCAGCTGCCCAGGAATGGTTTGCAATGTGACTATTACTTATGAAAATACTTGGGACAAAACGTAACTGGAGAGAAAGATCTCTTTAAAGCTTTTCAGAATTTTACGTGAAGTGCAACTTTTCTTGGTTTGGCAGGCTGTTTCTCTCACTGAGCAGTGGCATAGGTACCAGGAACTGATCTCTAGTTATTTCATTCAAAAGGTAGAATAATTCAGGATTCTTTTATCTCCAGTTGTTCCTTCCCTGGGTTTGCCACGCCAGGGAAAGGAGTGGGGAGAAAATCTCCATGAAGGTTAGTTAAAACAGTCCTACCCATTTTGTTCATCTGAGGACAAGTCAACCAGCATCTTCCCAGGAATAGGTCCCAGCTCCTAAAACTACTGCAGAAAGATCCTTATGAGACTGAAAACCGCGGCTACTGTGGCATCGTGCTTTTACACCTGCCTCAGGTCCTGTCTCTTCTACATTCTCCTGACCCAGACAGCATACCACATTACCCAGAAAGCACTTTAGACTTTGTAATTTCTGTAGTCAAGGTGTGAAGGGTAAATATAGCATTTTGCATCTTTTTTCCACTCCCTAGAGAACCTCTGCTGAGCCATAGGGGTGCCCTGCCTTGAGCCATCCATCTTTCTCCCAGCCTCACCATCCTGTGCCTTCTCTGTGTGGACTGCTGGCACAGGCAGTGCTTTGATTAAGAATGAACACGCACTGTAAAAAAAAACCCTCTGTATCTGAGATATCCTTGCAAACAGTACCCCTGCACTGTTCAGATCCAGAGGAAGGGGATGGAGAAGGCACATCAAAGTCTTGATATGGAGGTGGATTATATTCATGTGTGTCTGCCAGTTTAGCAAGATCTGCTGTGGACTGGCAGGGGTGACTTTGTGTGTTGCAGGTACTGTGCTATTACTTTCTGACCTTTTGTGCAGCCTATGAGGCCATTTTCTCTCTCTCCTACAGATTCCCCAGGTGTTCCTCCAAGTGCCAATGCTCATCACCTTTTCAGAGGGTTCAGCTTTGTTGCCTCTAACTTAGTGCAGGAGCCTGCACAGCAAGATGTGCACAAAATCACCATCCATCCGATTGTGCAGGTACTGATGCTGATATTACACTTCACGTTTGATAGGCAGATACATATGTGCATAGTGTATTCAAACTGCCTCAGCATTCTCACTGCTATTTCACAGCTACCTAGTGTAGGTAGGAGGTGTTTACATGCATCATGTAGGAGGTGGAAAATTAGTATTTTTTTCCCAAAGGCTTTTATCTTTAAGTTCACATGCTCCACAGCCTTTACAAAGGAAACAGGAATCTCACCTTATCTCAACTGAAATGAAAAGTACTTCTGAATACCTGAAACATTATTCCAGTTGTGCATACAGGGCAGGTAATGAAGTGCTCTTTTTTCAGTGAATGCATGTCATTATCAACAGTTTTTTCTTGGATTATATGATACAGTCTGTGCTGGCAAAGGGGCTTAACAAACTACTGCTGTAGGCTCCCACAGCCCAAGCCCCTGGGTGTAAGAGGCCACCATGCTCCTTTTGCTATTGCATGAGAGCCTGAGTGTATCACATAACCCAGAGCCCCTTGATGGGGGAAGGACATTTGCTAGATGCTTGGTTCTTTGCTGCCATTCCCCTACAATATGTGCTCCAGCTACTGTAGTTCAAGCCAGAAATAAATAGCTACAAATGGCTCAATACATCAGAGGAATAGAGGATTGGGAGAAAGAATTGGGCTGCTCAAAGATGCAGTAAATTTTCCCACAAAGTTCCTCTTCTACCCACAACCAGAGGTATGAATGCCTCAAGAGGAGAGCCACAGCCTGTGCTTTTCATAGTTTTCATCCCTATTTTAATAATTTACAGTAGAATATGTCATATTCTTAAAGATTCTCTTATGCTCTTATTCTTTTAGTAAGTAAAATGTTACCCAAGCAATTACAAACCAGAAATTTCATATATATTCCTGTGGTTTGCTTTGTAAAAATGTATTGAATGTTTACATATGCATGTCTTATAATTTAGAAAGTTCTGTGTGGACTTTGCTAGTGAGGTGACATTTTTAGACAGAGGACCCTAGAGGGTTTTTTAAGAGCTGCTGGTCGTTTCTTGAGTCCTGGGATAGAATTTGCAGCAAGGCCTCAGATTTGGGTTTCACCATCTTAAGCAATCCACCTTCCCAGACATTTTCCAAAAGGCATGTGAACTAATGATGCCGTAGCTCATTTTGTACCCTTCCATAAATAAAATTAGAAATTTAGAAGTCTTTCCTACTATTTTCACTAGTAATATATTTTGTTAAATTAGGTTGGCTTAAAATAGTAACTTTTCTCTCACAGATAATTAAGCATATCCTGGACAAGACCTCCAGTGGTCTGGAGGTACACCTCATATGTGGGGTATCTGTCTGAAGACTATGAAGCTATTAGTAGTTTATGTTATCTGGCTCCTCATTAATTAGAAATGTTTATGTTGTCAAGATACGTGACTTTGTCAAGGGATTTGGGCCCACAATTTCCTGTGAATTTCTAATAGGAGGTGATGGTCTGCATTCTATAGTTTAGAAAATCACTGCTTTTTTTGCCATTACTTCTACATGGACAACTCCATCTCACAGACTGAAAAAAAGTAAAAATGGAAGAGACACACTCGTTTAAGTAGAACTTCAGGTTTTTAAACTGGATATAGAAAACCTTCTAAGGACAAGAGAGCTCTGTGAAGGAGATGAGATCAAGCACTTCCTTTAGAAGCTAGTCCTTGCTTTTACATAGCCATGTCCTGATGACCTTGTTTCTTTTGTCTTTCCCTATAGCAGTTACATGGGAACAACATTCATTTTACAGATGGATATGAGATCAAGGAGGACATAGGAATCGGCTCCTATTCAGTGTGCAAGAGATGCGTTCATAAAGCTACAGAAACAGAGTTTGCAGTGAAGGTAAGAAAGTTTTCTGGTTAATGCCAGAAATGTGGTTGAGACTGCTCTGCCAGCCTGGGCAGCAGTGCTCTCAGTGGATATTGTGTTGGCTTACTTCTTGTTTGGTCGATGTTGCTTTTTTTTTTTTATTTCTTTAGGAAGATGACAGGTTTTATGGTAAGCCTTACATGATTTCTCACACCTTCATCTCATCAAGTAAAATTTCTGGATGGAAAAAACCTTTACAGTGTTACATGGAAATGCTGCTAATAGTTTCAGCCAATGTCCTTGCAAACTAGATAAGATTTTTAATAGACCCTACATTGAAGTATCATATAAATAAACAATAACATATAAAATGCTTGCAAAGTTGAAATAGTATTTTATTTTTATTTATCAAGTTCTTCTGACACTTTCTATTGTAATTAGATTTGTCAGTGAAAACCATGATCCTTTCAAAAACTTAGATTTCCTTTTGTCTCCTTGACATTCAACACCAACATACTACACAAAGAAGCAAAAGGCAATCTCCAGCAGAGCTTTAAAATATTAATTCTGTGGAATTTAGTTGGATATTAAGGACAAGTCAGTAAACTTCAAGCAACACAACATAAAACAGAGTCACTGCAGCTGCAGAGGCCAGGAAGCTACTAGGATGTAGGTATGAAGGAACCTTTTCTGATAAGGAAGAACTTCAGCAGAACTGCTTTGGAAGCTCATGCTCAGAGGACTAAGTCACAGTCTCTATTAAATGCTATTGAATAAACAGTATGCAGCTATTACAGAGGGCAGAACAGGTGATTGTGAGGTTACAGCTCAGAGGAAGAGTTCCAAACATTCAATTTTCTTTAAGAAAAAGTTGTAGTAATTAAAACACTCATATGTTAGAAAAATATTTCATGTTTTTGTTCTTGTACCAAAAAGAGACAGGATTGGATTAAATGAGGAATTAGTGTAATGAATTTGAAAAGACATGGACAGTTAAGTCAGATGCTTTCATTCTGTATAATCTCGTGGGAACAGATTGCCTAAATGAGCATAAGACAAAAAGTAGCTCCTTGAAATCAGTACATAGAAAAATGTATTTACCCAACTCAGTAAATGAGGGATTCTAGCCAATTGCCACTCTACTTTTCTTATTTTAAAACTTTAGAAAAGATATGTAAACTGATCTTATAAATTAAATTATGTCTTTGCTATTAAATGAGATGATGGAAGCTTAAAGAAGTGATCCAGACTGCAGTCCATGAAATAAATGAGCTGCAGGTAGTCAATAGAATAATATTAAACTTTCTGTTCAGTCTTATTTTCCATTGCAAGACTGATGATAATGCAGTATCCACTAAAGTTTTGGTATCTCCTCAGGGTGGCCACAAAAATCAGGAAACCACTAATAACTGTCAAACTGTTGATGTCACTATTCAAATAACAGTTGTTTTTCTAGCCTACACCATAATTAGGAGCATGGACCTACTAACAGTTCCATGGGCTTGCGCATGAACACGCTAGGATTTTAATTTCTAATGAATGGAAGAATTAGATTTTTATTTTTATTTCATATTAAGATTATATCATTTTGTTATCAAAGTAGCTCTCTTACATAAAGACTGCACAATGCCAGCCATTTCAAGTAATTAGCACAGGTGTTTCAACTGATATTATCATAATTATGTATCAGTCCCTTCTGACATGCATGCTTTAACTCTCTCTGTAAAAATCACTGTAATTAGACTCTTTTGATTTCTTTCAGTAACTATAATTTTCTCAATGCTCCCTAATGCAGAAGATTCACAGGAAAACATATCTGCAGTGATAGTTTCTATGATAGGCAGCAGCCCCATTTACCTGGCATTACCTCATTAAAACTTCCCTAGCGGAAGCCGGTGACAGGGAAGGAGTTAAGGAAATGACGTGGTAGCATCACCGCGGGAGGACACACATCATGTTTCTGGGTAAATAATCCCTCCACAGAGACTGCCACTCACCAGGCCGTATTTACTATTGCTGTGTAGTGCCATACTGAGACAGCAGAGTACCAAGCCAGAGTAACGTGAGTCAAGAGCTACAGCCAGAAAATCCACACAGAAAAACAAAATCTTTCCTAGCTGAGAAGCAGAATATATTTATTAAAATGCAAAACATTTCATACCATTTCCTTTTGCTGGCCGTCTGCAACTAATTGGGGGCCATCTTATAGAGAAAATTAGATGTCTGGCAGTGCAAAGAAGTTCTTTGCTGATGTTGTAAAAGCACTTGAAGTGATCTGGAATTTCACTTGTTTCAGAGTTCAGTAAGACTGGGCACATCACTCACTGGGGTGCTTTTGGAAGTCCCCGTAGACACCTCTCTGCTTAGGCACCTAACTACCTTTGTAAATCCAATCACTGAACCTGCAGAAGAAAATTTTCTTGCAACCTGTTCCCGCTTCTTTGTCATCTGTAAAAATGAAATGCTAATAATAAACTCTAAATCCTCAGGCTCCTAAATACAATATTTAAGAATTCAGACTTATATCTCCACCTTTCAAAGCATTTGAATACCAAGCAACAGAAAACCTTGTAGACAGCCAGATATCCTGCAAACTGAGCCTACCCTGAAACTAATAGCCACCTCCCTGGGTCAGTGCAGGTAGATGTTGATTTAGCAAATCATATCATATTCTACTTCATGTACGTACTCTGAAGTACTTTTAAAATTTTACACTTTTTTTCCATCTCTTCCCAAGTGAAAAAAAAAAAGAGTAATAAAATACAAGTACATATATTGTTCATTCTTCTGAATGCTTTATAAGACTGGTATAAAGAAGACCGCTGGGGAAAAAGAGTGTTTCTCCTCTGACAGACCTCTCAGATTCTTCTGGTAGAATATTGATCATCCTGACTACAGCAGGCATCATGATTTTTAATAGCAAAGAGAACTGGCATTGTCGATCACAGTTACAAGCTTCACATGGGTATAAATGTAACAGTGAGGTCAGAAGCAAAGGAAAATCAGATCAAACTATTTCAGTCACATCAGTATCTAGAGAAAACAAGTCAGTTAAGTAAAAGAATGATCCTAGAGCAGATGGGAGGGATTTCTGTGGATAGAAGAAAGCCTACAGTGGAAGCCTAAAGAGATTAAGAGCTCTCTTTTGTAAAACAAAGGAAATGCTACAGTTCAGAGTTCTTGGTGAATCAAATTTTTCAAAACCTGCTAGAGATTTGATGCAATTGGTGTATTCCAAAAGTTTTTCATTACTTAAAAACATTGCACTGGCTTCAAGCTTGGATCCTTACTTGTAGTGAAGCTTTCAAGCTGGATTTTCAGATGTGCTTCTTACTTATGCCAAATTCAGTGTATTTGAAAGGACATGATTGCATCTCCCTTTTTCTAAAGGTTTCTTTGCTTAGATTGTCTCTACCTCCAGCACAGATTGCTGGTAGATAACAGCCAAAGTAGAAACTGCTGGTGCTATGTCCTGTCCTACTCCCAGTATGGTGTCTGCCCCAAACGTTGCAGAGGTGTGTGTGCATAGGGGCCAGCTTCAACAGCTTTGATGCCAACTGTTTTCTTCTCCAGGTCAAAAGAATATCTTACTGGTTAAGCCTTATAGATTTTTAGTCCTTCCATGTTGTTAGAGCCAGGGGGAACAACTGGGTAAAAGGACAGGGTATACATTTCTCCCTCCCTTGAAGAAGAAAAACATGCAGTAGAGATAGTCCCAAATGAGAAGTCCATTTTTGGAGGTACCAGTATTACAGTGGAATTTGGATCTCGAAACACATGTGAATTTCACGACTTTTTCCTATCTCTCTAACCTGCTAGCCTACAATTTGGCTCCACATGTTCCACAGCTGTGAACAAAGCCAAATTTTGCAGTCTACATCTGCCTCTGGGATACAGGTTAGTTTATGATAGAGTCCTAGTAAATCCTACAGTTCATATATAATTTTGGTAATTACGAAGCACTGAAAGTACATCTATCTCAGCATGTTTTGGTATATGCAGACTGAAGAGAAGGTGCATTTTAATTAACTATAAAAATGAGATACCAGCAGAGAACTGATGTTAACATGCTATCAATAAATAGATGTCAGTAACTCGTGACAGCTGGTTTTAGCAGGCTTGTGTAATCAGACTTGCTGTATAACTCTATTTATTTTCTAATAATGGTGAGTGACGTAGTGACCAAAAACTATATGAATTCCAGAGTTGTTTCATAATTTCTTTAAACTTCATTTTCCTCTTTTGTTGATGTTCACGGTCTTGGTTTGCTTGTTTTTAGGTGGATGGCATAAGTAGATACAATAACATGCTAATCTGAAGGCAGGATCTTACGCAGGGTTATTTAGTTGGCTCTGCAATATTTTCTCCATAATCTATATTATGGTTGTGTCAGGAATTCAGTGCTGAATGCAGAAAGCATGAATGACAAAAAAAAAGGTAGTCTTCTAAGACTGACTGCAGTGTGGTGCAGTCTTCTGCAATTCTTTTAAAGAAAATAGGATTCCTGAGTACATATAGGTTTACTAAATGAAACAGGAAAAGGAAAAAAAAAAGAAGAAAAAAGATCAGTCCAAAGGTCATCAAATCTCCTTGACAGTTAAGGTGTCTGTAGAGCTAGAGACATTTGCTTAGATTTGTTTCTCCTTAACCATAGAAAGTCACTAAAGTGACTTTCCACTAAAGTGAAACAGACTGTGAAATTTTCAGGGGAGGATTTGTGTCTATTTTTATCTGTCTGGGAGGTACCAAGTGTCTGGTGTAACGTGGATAAATATATCAATATTTTAATAGGCAAGTCAATGGAAAGTTTGCTGGATAACCTCAGATTTCTTGGCCCTGAGTCTGCCAGCTTGTCAACACTAGCAGGTACCCATTCACTGATTGTCTGACCTTTCCTCCCTCTGTCTGCACCACAACATGGTACAGGGGTCAGGCCCCAGGGTATGTGCAGAGATCTCTGGATCAGATCTACTGATAAATGTATCCTCTTTAAATTTAGCTGTGAAATTTAGCAGAAATTACCTGCTGCTGGA